CTGTACCTGTGTCTCTGCCTGTATCTGTGTGTCTGCCTGTACCTGTGTCTCTGCCTGTACCTGTGTACCTGTACCTGTGTGTCTGCCTGTACCTGTGTCTCTGCCTGTACCTGTGTGTCTGCCTGTACCTGTGTGTCTGCCTGTATCTGTGTCTCTGCCTGTATCTGTGTGTCTGCCTGTACCTGTGTCTCTGCCTGTACCTGTGTACCTGTACCTGTGTGTCTGCCTGTACCTGTGTCTCTGCCTGTACCTGTGTGTCTGCCTGTACCTGTGTGTCTGCCTGTATCTGTGTGTCTGTCTGTACCTGTGTGTCTGCCTGTATCGGTGTGTCTGCCTGTACCTGTGTGTCTGCCTGTACCTGTGTACCTGTACCTGTGTGTCTGCCTGTACCTGTGTCTCTGCCTGTACCTGTGTGTCAGCCTGTACCTGTGTGTCTGCCTGTACCTGTGTGTCAGCCTGTACCTGTGTGTCTGTCTGTACCTGTGTGTCAGCCTGTACCTGTGTGTCTGTCTGTACCTGTGTGTCAGCCTGTACCTGTGTGTCTGCCTGTACCTGTGTACCTGTACCTGTGTGTCTGCCTGTACCTGTGTCTGCCTGTACCTGTGTGTCAGCCTGTACCTGTGTGTCTGCCTGTACCTGTGTGTCTGCCTGTACCTGTGTGTCTGCCTGTACCTGTGTGTCTGCCTGTACCTGTGTCTCTGCCTGTACCTGTGTGTCTGCCTGTACCTGTGTGTCTGCCTGTACCTGTGTGTCAGCCTGTACCTGTGTGTCAGCCTGTACCTGTGTACCTGTACCTGTGTGTCTGTCTGTACCTGTGTGTCAGCCTGTACCTGTGTGTCTGCCTGTACCTGTGTGTCTGCCTGTACCTGTGTCTCTGCCTGTACCTGTGTCTCTGCCTGTACCTGTGTGTCTGGCTGTACCTGTGTCTCTGCCTGTACCTGTGTGTCTGCCTGTACCTGTGTGTCTGCCTGTACCTGTGTACCTGTACCTGTGTGTCTGCCTGAACCTGTGTGTCAGCCTGTACCTGTGTACCTGTACCTGTGTGTCTGCCAGTACCTGTGTGTCAGCCTGTACCTGTGTGTCTGCTTGTACCTGTACCTGTGTGTCTGCCTGTACCTGTGTGTCAGCCTGTACCTGTGTGTCAGCCTGTACCTGTGTACCTGTGTGTCTGCCTGTACCTGTGTGTCAGCCTGTACCTGTGTGTCTGCTTGTACCTGTACCTGTGTGTCTGCCTGTACCTGTGTGTCAGCCTGTACCTGTGTACCTGTGTGTCTGCCTGTACCTGTGTGTCAGCCTGTACCTGTGTGTCTGCTTGTACCTGTACCTGTGTGTCTGCCTGTACCTGTGTGTCTGCCTGTACCTGTGTACCTGTACCTGTGTACCTGTACCTGTGTGTCTGCCTGTACCTGTGTGTCTGTCTGTACCTGTGTGTCAGCCTGTACCTGTGTGTCAGCCTGTACCTGTGTGTCAGCCTGTACCTGTGTACCTGTACCTGTGTGTCTGCCTGTACCTGTGTGTCTGTCTGTACCTGTGTGTCAGCCTGTACCTGTGTGTCTGCCTGTACCTGTGTACCTGTACCTGTGTGTCTGCCTGTACCTGTGTCTCTGCCTGTACCTGTGTGTCTGCCTGTACCTGTGTGTCTGCCTGTACCTGTGTACCTGTACCTGTGTGTCTGCCTGTACCTGTGTGTCTGTCTGTACCTGTGTGTCTGTCTGTACCTGTGTGTCTGCCTGTACCTGTGTACCTGTACCTGTGTACCTGTACCTGTGTGTCTGCCTGTACCTGTGTGTCTGCCTGTACCTGTGTACCTGTACCTGTGTGTCTGCCTGTACCTGTGTACCTGTACCTGTGTGTCTGCCTGTACCTGTGTGTCTGCCTGTACCTGTGTACCTGTACCTGTGTGTCTGCCTGTACCTGTCTGTCTGCCTGTACCTGTGTGTCTGCCTGTACCTGTGTACCTGTACCTGTGTACCTGTACCTGTGTACCTGTACCTGTGTGTCTGCCTGTACCTGTGATAACTCCGGTGCACTCGTGAGAAACAGGAAGAGGGTGAAGGCGTAAACGAATCTCATTGGTTTATTTCAGTCTGCTCTAAAATATGTTTTATTAATTTGTGTAGACTTTAGAAATCTGGTCAATTCCATTACTATTTGAAAACACACGATAACGTGATACTTTCAGAGTTTAGGGACGTTTTCCAACAATATTTTAAAAAATGCGTCTGGAAAAAATGACTGACTTTAAGACTGAAAGGTTTTTGAATACATCAGATGTGCCTGATGGCGAAACACACTGGGACGGCGTGTTCCCGGCCGTATGACAACCAGACGGTGAGGACGGCGGCGGGGATTAGACGTGATAATGAGACGGCGAACCATCACAGGCCGTCACTGTAACGCCGGAATCATTGCATATAATTACATTTGTTATTTACTCTTTAATTATACTCTGAAAACGGGCTGAAAACACAGTCACAGGAAAGAGATGGGTTTGAAACAGTCTGAATGCAATTAGTTAAAGGAGCAGTCTTTAAACATGTGGCCGAAAGTGGTACTGCAGCCTCTCCCACTCTCCCTGACTCAGGTTACTAAAAGAGCAGTATATTATTATGACAGATTAGGGCCATTTAATGATGACAGAATAGGGATCTTTAATGATGATAGATTAGGGCCCTTTAATGACAGATTAGGGCCCTTTAATGACAGATTAGGGCCCCTTAATGGCAGATTAGGGCCCTAAATGATGACAGATTAGGGCCCTTTAGTAATGACAGATTATGGCCCTTTGATGATGACAGATTAGGGTCCTGATGACAGATTAGGGTCCTTTAATTATGACAGATTATGGCCCTTTAATGATGACAGATTATGGCCCTTTAATGATGACAGATTAGGGCCCTTTAATGACAGATTAGGGCCCTTTAGTAATGACAGATTAGGGCCCTTTCATGATGACAGATTAGGGCCCTTTAATGATGACAGATTATGGCCCTTTAATGGCAGATTAGGGCCCTTTAATGATGACTCAACATGAAAATGCTGCTTTAAATGTAGACAAACAACATGAACAGTAGAAAAAGCGAAGGCGTCTGAAGAAGAAGAACGTAAACATGTTTCTGAGCCTCAGTTCGATCAGAAAAGTTCATCATTCTCAAAGTTTAAAGAAGAAAAGTGCAAAGTGTGAAAGAAGAATGTATAGATCCGTGTGGCGGTGTTCGGTCTGAGTCATCTGACAGGTTTTCTATCGACTCTCCTCAAACATTACTCTCTTCAGTCTCTGTCCTCAGGTTTATCTGCTTTTTACTTTTATTAAACTAGAATCAAAGAAACTTTTTTTTTCAAATCTATGAAAAAAGTTCTGTAATGTTTTTCAGATCTCTGCTGCTTCACTTCAGATTCTGATTTTGGGGCTATACCTACAGATGTAGGCATACCACTAAAGCAAAGCAGGGCAGGGCCAGGTTAGAACTGTGATGGGAGACATTTTTTATCAGAATGGATGATGATAAATGTTTGTTTGAAGGTTGCATTTCCAAAGAGAGTTGTACATTCTTCTGTAGTGTTAACAAACATCTCTATATTTGGCTAAAACTTGAATGCAAAAGCCAGATCCTGTCGGACTTCTCAAGCAAAGAAGAGCAGGGTCTGGTTAGTGCTGTGATGGGAGACCTCTGGGAACAGCAGGTGCCACAGTGGGGCGGCTGCGGCTGTAAAGTGCCAAACTGTGGCTGTGTCCTTAGGCAAGACACTTCCCCCACATTAGAATGAGTCTGGTGTGTGTGTGAATGGTTGGTGGTGGTGGGAGGGGCTTCTGTCAGTGTGCCCCAGGGCAGCTGTGGCTACAGTAGCAGTTAATCACCAGTGTATTGGAGAGAAAGGATAATGTTGTGAAGAGACTTTGCTTGTCCTAAAGCTCTGAATAAAACCATTGCTTTGTTATCACTCTCAGCAGCAGCCATCATTAACCTGTAAACCCACTCTGTTCTTTTGTGTTCTCATGTGGCTGAGCTTCAGGACATCAGTCTGAACTCACTTCTATGCTTCCACTAGTGAAGTATTGGCTGTTGGCTGCACTTTGATTAAAAGTCCACATCTAACCAGTGACAAGATACTTTACATTTGATTTCAGTTCAGATAATCATTCAGTTAATTCAGATTCTGCTTTCCCTGTACCATCGATGTGGGATACTTTTTCATAAATACTAAATACTGTGTGTGTCCCAACAGAAAAACTAATAAAAATAAATAAACACATCCGTAAGAAAGTGCCCTGAGTGAACCACCACCAAACCACTTGTTTCATTTCATTAAATCTTTTAGTAGTAGTAGTAGCAGTCATAGTAGTAGTATCTTGTATTTTGTTTACAGATATTTCAAGAAACAAAGCCTAAAGCAGAAGCAGATACAGGTGCCTTCTCCTGTTTTCAATACTACATTTAAGAAACTGCAGAAAGATTCAGATTTTCACATGACATTCCAGATTTTTACCATCTTCATCTTCATCCTCATCATCATCATCCTCCCACTGTGATAGAAAGTAAAGGTGCCATACTGCCCACTATCACATCTGCCAAAACCACACACCGCCCCTTTAAGAGTTTAAACGGTTCAGAATTTGCAAATCTCGAATTAGATTTTCATCAAAAGCATTAACACTGGTGCATGTTGCTTAATCTACTGTCAAAACATTTATTCTAGAACCAATCTCCTCTCCATCCCTTCACAGACAGCGACCTACGGTGAGAGCGGCCGCCAGTCTGAGCCTCCCACGCCGCGGACACGGCTTCTCCACACCGATACAAGTTTAATCTACAACTTTCTTTTAGTCCCGGGGAGCGAGGTTAAGCAGGTTAGCAAAGATTAGGTGCTTTGGCGCGTAGTAACAGGAGACATTAAAAGCCGTTAAGAGCAAGCTATATGTTCTGATTAGATTCATTTGAAAGACACAGTCACGGGAGAAGGTGAGAACGAGCCGTCGATCGGTCTCTTTCGATTCAGCTTCAGCGGAGCAGTCTGGTCCTGGAGGTGCAGTCTGGTCCTGGAGGTGCAGTCTGGTCCTGGAGGTGCAGTCTGGTCCTGGAGGTGCAGTCTGGTCCTGGAGGTGCAGTCTGGTCCTGGAGGTGCAGTCTGGTCCTGGAGGTGCAGTCTGGTCTGGGAGGTGCAGTCTGGTCCTGGTCTGGAGGTGCAGTCTGGTCCTGGAGGTGCAGTCTGGTCCTGGAGGTGCAGTCTGGTCCTGGAGGTGGCAGTCTGGTCCTGGAGGTGCAGTCTGGTCCTGGAGGTGCAGTCTGGTCTGGGAGGTGCAGTCTGGTCCTGGAGGTGCAGTCTGGTCCTGGAGGTGCAGTCTGGTCCTGGAGGTGCAGTCTGGTCCTGGAGGTGCAGTCTGGTCCTGGAGGTGCAGTCTGGTCCTGGAGGTGCAGTCTGGTCCTGGAGGTGCAGTCTGGTCCTGGAGGTGCAGTCTGGTCTGGAGGTGCAGTCTGGTCCTGGAGGTGCAGTCTGGTCCTGGAGGTGCAGTCTGGTCCTGGAGGTGCAGTCTGGTCCTGGAGGTGCAGTCTGGTCCTGGAGGTGCAGTCTGGTCCTGGAGGTGCAGTCTGGTCCTGGAGGTGCAGTCTGGTCTGGAGGTGCAGTCTGGTCCTGGAGGTGCAGTCTGGTCCTGGAGGTGCAGTCTGGTCCTGGAGGTGCAGTCTGGTCCTGGAGTTCCAGTCTGGTCCTGGAGGTGCAGTCTGGTCCTGGAGGTGCAGTCTGGTCCTGGAGGTGCAGTCTGGTCCTGGAGGTGCAGTCTGGTCCTGGAGGTGCAGTCTGGTCCTGGAGGTGCAGTCTGGTCCTTGAGGTGCAGTCTGGACCTGGAGTTCCAGTCTGGTCCTGGAGGTGCAGTCTGGTCCTGGAGGTGCAGTCTGGTCCTGGAGGTGCAGTCTGGTGCTAGAGGTGCAGTCTGGTCCTGGAGGTGCAGTCTGGTCCTGGAGGTGCAGTCTGGTCCTTGAGGTGCAGTCTGGTCCTGGAGTTCCAGTCTGGTCCTGGAGGTGCAGTCTGGTCCTGGAGGTGCAGTCTGGTCCTGGAGGTGCAGTCTGGTCCTGGAGGTGCAGTCTGGTTCTGGAGGTGCAGTCTGGTTCTGGAGGTGCAGTCTGGTCCTGGAGTTCCAGTCTGGTCCTGGAGGTGCAGTCTGGTCCTGGAGGTGCAGTCTGGTTCTGGAGGTGCAGTCTGGTCCTGGAGGTGCAGTCTGGTCCTGGAGGTGCAGTCTGGTCCTGGAGGTGCAGTCTGGTCCTGGAGGTGCAGTCTGGTCCTTGAGGTGCAGTCTGGTTCTGGAGGTGCAGTCTGGTCCTGGAGTTCCAGTCTGGTCCTGGAGGTGCAGTCTGGTTCTGGAGGTGCAGTCTGGTCCTGGAGGTGCAGTCTGGTCCTGGAGGTGCAGTCTGGTCTGGGAGGTGCAGTCTGGTCCTGGAGGTGCAGTCTGGTCCTGGAGGTGCAGTCTGGTCCTGGAGGTGCAGTCTGGTCCTGGAGGTGCAGTCTGGTCCTGGAGGTGCAGTCTGGTCCTGGAGGTGCAGTCTGGTCTGGGAGGTGCAGTCTGGTCCTGGAGGTGCAGTCTGGTCCTGGAGGTGCAGTCTGGTCCTGGAGGTGCAGTCTGGTCCTGGAGGTGCAGTCTGGTCCTGGAGGTGCAGTCTGGTCCTGGAGGTGCAGTCTGGTCCTGGAGGTGCAGTCTGGTCCTGGAGGTGCAGTCTGGTCCTGGAGGTGCAGTCTGGTCTGGAGGTGCAGTCTGGTCCTGGAGGTGCAGTCTGGTCCTGGAGGTGCAGTCTGGTCCTGGAGGTGCAGTCTGGTCTGGGAGGTGCAGTCTGGTCCTGGAGGTGCAGTCTGGTCCTGGAGGTGCAGTCTGGTCCTGGAGGTGCAGCAGTCTGGTCCTGGAGGTGCAGTCTGGTCCTGGAGGTGCAGTCTGGTCCTGGAGGTGCAGTCTGGTCCTGGAGGTGCAGTCTGGTCCTGGAGGTGCCTGAGAGCATGCAGCTAATGTATTTGTTTTGGTCTCCGCGGGGCGCAGGGGGATTAAATGTCTCGGTCGTGACGGACGTGAGCAGAGCGGTTCTCTCCCGGGGCGTCTTTCCGCTGCCGTCACATCACCCTGAAATCTTGATAGCGCCGCGATCGGGAAGTAGAAGTGTTCCTTATAGGCAGCTGGGTTTATCGATTTGAGCCGGCGTTATAAGGGTTTGGGTTTCTAATGATTCACCTGCGGTTTTTCTACTCTTTGACCAGAAAGAGCGGTCCCTGGGGGTGTCACTGTACGCCAGGTTGGTCTGAAAAGCTTTGATCCGTCTCCGACAGCATTGAAGGGTTCTCTGACTGATAAAAGACAGAATACATGTGTGCACTGTCAGACTGTACAAAGAAACCTGCTGCGACTGTGTATGTATGTGTGAATATGTATCTGTAAATAAGTAAATACTGCAATCATGTGCAATGTGCAATATTATTATTACCCTGCCTTTTATGTACAGTATATAACCTTTCACTATATATATATATATATATATATATATATATATATATATATATATATATTATATATATATTTGTTAATGAAGCATTTACAGCTAAGACACAAGCAGCTTCTTGTTTTGTGTCTGTTGTGTGCTTCCTGTTTACTTTAGTTTATTAAGATCCCCATGAGTCACTGAGACGCAGTGGCTCATCTTCCTGGGGTCTCCTCACAAGCTTCTACATCCGTTTTTTTAAACATATAAATCCTCTTTCACGCACACACACACACACACACACACACACACACACACACACACACACACACACACACACACACACACACACACACACACACACACACACACACACACACACACACACACACACACACACACACACACACACACACACACACACACACACACACACACACATACACATACACATGAAGCTCAGTGAGAAATCAATTACAAATAAAAAAATGAGTAATTTGTGTACATTTTAGAAAAGGAGAATGTATTAATTAAACCTCTGAGAACCCCGGAATGTTGCAGTGGCTTCAGTCTCACTCAAATATAAATATTTATATCCTATTTTTTCAACAATAAACTGTATAAACTGAAACATATAAAGAGTGTGTCTTACTGTCCTGTCTGTGCGCTGCAACACTGACATTTCCCCGGAGTGAGACCAATAAAGGATCCCTTCTCTTAGTTTAAAACACACTATGAAAGTCTTCTTCCTCCTAAAAGATGATTATATATTTAGATTATTCTAAATCTGTACAGCTATATCTGTGTCTATTATTGAGTTCTTTTAGATAAACCTCACAACAAAGGATTCATGAGGAAGAACTAACAGGATGTATCATAAATGGGACTGGGAATACAAGAATAGGTAAATCAACACATTTATACAAAATAATATTGTAAAAAATGCGTTACTTTGTCAAACAATACAAACCATATATCAAAGGTTAATTACATTTTTTGACATTGCCACAAATAATAAAATATAGAGTAAAAGATAAGTTATTTTCTCAAACCAACAGAATTACATAAGATCAAGTTTTTGAACTGTATATAAATAGTTTCTTTTCTCTTGCACGTGCGCTCGTTATCTGTCTCGTACTCTATTGAGCGGCGAAGTCTGAGCGCTTCAAAGCCCAATCCTTGTCCTCATTTCACGTACGTCAGTCCCTGCTATGTGTTCAACAAAAAGAGATAACGGCTCAAAGAAATAGTTGGACATTTGAGCTGGAGACGCAGATTGACGAAGCACAAAGAGAAGATAATTCTGTTTGATTTTCTTTCCAAACACAAAAAGTCTGGCGTTTGACTACGGCGGCGTCCTGGGAGAGCACACAAAGGCCTCGGTTAGCGCCTTTACAGCTAGCCGCGCTTCTACACGCAGCTGCGATGGCTGTTGACGTGTCCCATTAGAGACCAATCATCCTTGCCATGCCTCTATCTGCGCCGCCTGAATTATCGACATCTCAGTAATCACCGCACAATAGTCTTCATCACCGAGAGCGTGCCGTGTGCAGCGGTCAAAGCTCCATGTTGCGATGACATGACCTCCATCTGCGACGCCTTTTTTCATCTGGACGCTATTAACCGAGCAGAGAGACCTTTCATAAAAGTCCTTCTGCTTTTGTAATGGCTTTGGCGGAGCTTTGACATAAGTTTGTTCATTGGGAATCTTAAACAAAGCACATGGCTCTCCGTCTGAGGTGAGGAGAGAGGGATTGGTTATTATCTCGTGGTGTCGGGAGCAGACCACAGGAGCTGCAGACGCTCCAAATTGAGCAAACAGGAGATAACAGAGACGGAGGGCTGTCTGTGTCTGTAAGCCCTCGCCGCAGACTATCCTTCACCATTAAGCTATCGCCTCACGCTCTTTCACTCAGGCTGTTTTAAAAGCAAGACGAAAAACCCCATCCACTCTAAATGTTCCCATGAAGGACATCTGGCTGGTGCTTTTCAATCTGCCACTATACATAGCACAAAAGACATCAACCTAATCAGAAGCGTGTACATGTGCCAGGCCTGAATTATGACATATTGACACGGACGGAGGCGGGAGGAAGTGACAGGAGCGACGGGAACGGCAGGAGGGATGTGTGGAAGTGTGTGCAGAGGCCCGTGCAGGAACACCCCGAGGCGACTGAATAAACAGAGCAACTTAGACAACACTCCGTCAAGATGGCGGCCGAGGGAACAGGCTGCTCCACTTAAGGACATTTGTCAAGACGTGGAATGAACACCGTCCTCCCGTGGGTTATTATTGTCAAGATGTTATGAAAAATATGCTTTGCTCGCTTGATATTTACAGTATATTCTCTGAAGTTTAAGATGCCGTCGTGTTGGCCCTCTCCGTTTGGCCACAGGAGTTGGACTGGGTGATTTTTTCTTCCCTCATTGATCAATCTCAATTTCTGTTTTGATGTATTTCATATTTAAATTAAGTTCATATTTTACTTTAATCCACTCCCAGTGAAAGGCAACGACACATGAGAGAGCGAATCAAAATAAATTGGTGAAATGATGTGTCTATAATCTTCCAATCTCACAACCTGCCTTGATCTTGATATTCTTTGTGTGCAAACCAGTGTGGGCGGGTCAATCTCACTACCTCATGTGGGGGTGTACCCGGAAAGAGAATTACCCAATGCTCTTGGTCCAAAAGTGGTTCTGGGTCCAAAAGTGGCTCTTGGTCCAAAAGTGGCTCTTGGTCCAAAAGTGGCTCTTGGTCCAAAAGTGGCTCTTGGTCCAAAAGTGGCTCTTGGTCCAAAAGTGGTTCTTGGTCCAAAAGTGGCTCTTAGTCCAAAAGTGGTTCTTGGTCCAAAAGTGGCTCTTAGTCCAAAAGTGGTTCTTGGTCCTCTTGGTCCCAGATACTGTCTGAGGGGAGTGTATGTTTTTGGACCAGTCTAGTTTAGTCGCTGTGGAATGCACTCGTTAAATGAATGGGGCTAATGCAGCTGACGCACAAATGTGTTTTTTCACATTTTACCTGCGGCCATTTTGAAAAAGCCACAGAAGGTAAAAGTAGTGGCACATTAGTTTTGCAGAGTTTGGCAGAGTTCGAAAAAACGACATCTTTAACATTTCCAGTCTCTGATGTGGCCCGGCCTGAACCAAGAGTTGAATTCCTGATGATTCATTTAGAAAACTACAGACACGCAGACACAGAAGTAGGTACAGTAAGTGCAGGAGACTTGGTCCTATTGCACAGGTTTTTAGTTTCAGGGTAAACCAGAGGAAACCTTTGCGAGGCACAGGGAAGACAATTACATAGAGATAGAAATCCTCCAGCTGTGGTTGGAACATAATTACCTTGGCTCTGGCTTTGTGGGAGATGAAAAAATAGCATGTGGGAGGATCCTGTGAATATTTATAACATTAAGAAAAACATTGTGACCTAAATACATGAGATTTGGTATTATTCCGTCTTGTGGCAGTTGTTTTTATGAAGGAAGTCGTGGGGGTTGCCAGATAATGCGCTGGATCGATGTTCATTAGTCATCGCTGGACAAGGTCTTTCCTGTCACCGCACAGACGTCTCCGCAGCTCGGTCCAGAAGCTTCTCTGAGGAGCTGACCTTTGCAGTAGTTTGTGAAGCTCCGTCTGATTGAGGAGCCGACTGCACTCACTTTATTGACCATTTCCAACTAAACCTTTGGCCCAATCCGTGCTGTTGTGTTTATTTGGTCTAAAAGTGCCCGATAGAAAACACAGAAACTGCAGGAACAAATCTGACCATGTCGCTGCTAAAAGTGGGATTTGGACTGATTTGATTTTTTAACATGGGTGTTAGTCATGTGTGTTTGTCTCATGTATGACAGCAGCGGGTCATGCAGGAGCTGTTTGTATAATTACATCCAAACATGATTATGAATCTATAACCTTGCTTCTAAATCAGTTTAATATAAGTGTATAAAACAATCTATTATTGTTATAGTTATTATTAAGTATAAAGACGCAAATAATTCCTGTATCTGTTCGAATCCTTCATTAGAGATTTGAGGCACGTCCACATATTTGTCACTGAATTACAAGAAAAAAAAAATCATAAAAATTGACTTGCTTGTTCACCTGACACCAGAGAACCAAAGAACCAGTGCACCGGAGGGTATCCTGGTCCCAACAAGGAAGCCATGGAATGTAGCCATGGTTTCAGTGGGGTTTATACAGGTCTAGGTAGATTGGGCCCTAATCAACGTGTACCTAACCCTACCCCGGTCGTACCACACCATGGTACTCATTTCATTTCATACCAAGGTCTGGATTGTCTCCATTGACTCCGTTAACAGGTGGGAGGGGTCAACTCCTTTTACAGATTGAAACCATTGGATCTGAGTTTACTGTGACGTATGTAATGAGCCCGAGTGAGTTGTTAGCATGTAGCCTAGCTTTAGCATGTAGCCTAGCTTTAGCATGTAGCCTAGCTTTAGCCATCTCCTTTGTCACTAACGGAGCTCGTGGGGAGTAGAGCCACAACATCTTTGCTTCAAAAACATTTA